CACTTAAAACGTTTACGTAACAGTATCATGACGTCACCACCTCAACCTGTGTGTGTGTGTGTGTGTGTGTGTGTGTGTGTGTGTGTGTGTGTGTCTGTCTCTGTCTATCTGTCTGTGTTGTCTGTCTATCTGTCTGTGTGTCTGTCTCTGTCTATCTGTCTGTGTGTCTGTCTCTGTCTATCTGTCTGTGTGTCTGTCTCTGTCTATCTGTCTGTGTGTCTGTTCCTTCGTCTATCTGTCTGTGTGTCTGTCTCTGTCTATCTGTCTGTGTGTCTGTCTCTGTCTATCTGTCGTGTGTCTGTCTGGTTCATCTGTCTGTGTGTCTGTCTCTGTCTATCTGTCTGTGTGTCTGTCTCTGTCTATCTGTCTGTGTGTCTGTCTCTGTCTATCTGTCTGTGTGTCTGTCTCTGTCTATCTGTCTGTGTGTCTGTCTCTGTCTATCTGTCTGTGTGTCTGTCTCTGCTATCTGTCTGTGTGTCTGTCTCTGTCTATCTGTCTGTGTGTCTGTCTGCTATCTGTCTGTGTGTCTGTCTGTTCATCTGTCTGTGTGTCTGTCTCTGTCTATCTGTCTGTGTGTCTGTCTCTGTCTATCTGTCTGTGTGTCTGTCTCTATCTGTCTGTGTGTCTGTCTCTGTCTATCTGTCTGTGTGTCTGTCTCTGTCTATCTGTCTGTGTGTCTGTCTCTGTCTATCTGTTCTGGTGTCTGTCTCTGTCTATCAACAACAAAACAACAACAACACGAGACATTACTAGCACTAATGATTCCTCCGTTATTAGAGAACATCAATGGGGAATTCCTGCATAAGTAACACAACGAGGTCCATTAAAAGAGGATCCGAAGACTTTTATAGATGTGTTATGGGATTTGATGCTTCATAGGGTAACTCATAATGTCAAAATCACATCTGAAACTCTATGTCAGAAGTTGAAAGTTAGTGCCTGAAATAGACTTATGTGTCTATATTATCGCAGCAAAAGGTATCAGAAGAGGTTTGAAGACGAGTAATGATTTTTTTATAGAGTGATGGAAGTTGTAAATATAAGATCAGATAACATTTATTTGAATGACATGTAAAACTGCAGCAGAATCTTAAAGTGCATCTCACAAGGGCATCTCACAAGGGCATCTCACATGGGCATCTCACAAGGGCATCTCACAAGGGCATCTCACAAGGGCCCACTGCCTACACGTGCCCGAGAAACAGAGACGCATCAGCTGATTGTGTTGATATAAGCCTGAATACTTAACCCCGTGCTCTGAACCTGTATCATGGATGTGTGGTGATGTCTTGATACAGAATAGCTCCAAGGTTTATCTGTATGTCCAGAGGCGTTTATGGTCGTGTAAAGGATGCCTAACATGTGCAGAGGGAGAGAGAGAGAGAGACTACAGTAGCAAACTCACGTGAGAAGCAGGTGTAGGGGAGGGAGGGAGAGGTCACTTGTTTATTGATGTGATACGTAGACAAACACACGCACACATACACACGTGTACAGCGAGTGTTTTTGAGATTAGTGGATCTCTCTCTCTCTCTCTCTCTGTTTATTACACTGAGACTCTACCTTAGCTAGAGAGTATCGAAGACTCCAAGACTAAGATCTAGATGAAGCGTTCTTGTTAAATGTGTCAATATGTTTCTAGTTAATGGAAGAGGAGGAGGAGGAGGTGGTGGTGGTGGTGATGGTAATGGTAATTGGTAAGGGCGATTGTTTTGATAATTTTAAAAGCAGAGGTAAAGGTAGTAGTAGTAGTAGTATAAGTAGTAGTAGTAACAGTAGTAGTAGTAACAGTAGTAGTAGTATATATAGTAGTAGTATAAGTAGTAGTAACAGTAGTAGTAGTATAAGTCGTAGTATTATAAGTAGTAGTAGTAACAGTAGTAGTAGTAACAGTAGTAGTAGTAACAGTAGTAGTAGTATAAGTAGTAGTAGTAACAGTATTGTAACAGTAGTAGTAGTATAAGTAGTAGTAGTATAAGTAGTAGTAGTAACAGTAGTAGTAGTAACAGTAGTAGTAGTAACAGTAGTAGTATAAGTAGTAGTAGTAACAGTAGTAGTAGTATAAGTAGTAGTAACAAGTAGTTGTAACAGTAGTAGTAGTATAAGTAGTAGTAGTATAAGTAGTAGTAGTAACAGTATTAGTTGGTTGGAAGAAGGCAGGAAGGAAGGAGCCAAAACCACTATCTACACGGCGTTGAAATCTCCACAGGTGAAATTAGCTGCGGTCGTCTACCATTGGCTCACCCACCCTCCACCTTCAACCCCCACCCCCTCCACCCTCAACCCCACCTCCACCCTCAACCCCACCCTCCACCCCACCCCACCCAGCCCCCACCCTCTACCCCACCAGCCCCCACCCTTCCACCACCTTCAACCCCACCTCCACCTCTACCCCACCAGCCCCCACCCCTCTACCCCACCAGCCCCCCACCCCTCCACCTCTACCCCACCAGCCCCCACCCTCTACCCACCAGCCCCCACCCTCTACCCCACCAGCCCCCACCCTCTACCCCACCAGCCCCCACCCACCCCGTCTCTTAAGGCTCCTCTGCGAATCTTTTACCTGTTATTGGGATAAGATGACTTATCGAATTACCTGTAGAGTCACAGTGTAATTTCGACGCCATTGACTTTTTCTTTTCTTTTCCGGATCAGTTGGTTAAGTTCTGACATCACATTTCATGAAATATTTAGCGTAAGAATCTTTGGGAATCTGTCGTAGGTTAATGGACCCAGTTACATACGTTTTCGCATTATCAGTTAAAGGGAACATTTAACTTTTCGATCATTTGAGAATCCATCTTCGTGTCGTAGCTATGAGCCAGTTAGATACAGTCGCGCATCACCAGTTAATAGAAGACATTGAACATACGAACAGTTAGATACAGTCTCACATCACCAGTTAATAGAAGACATTGAACATACGAACAGTTAGATACAGTCTCACATCACCAGTTAATAGAAGACATTGAACATACGAACAGTTAGATACAGTCTCACATCACCAGTTTATAGAAGACATTGAACATACGAACAGTTAGATACAGTCTCACATCACCAGTTAATAGAAGACATTGAACATACGAACAGTTAGATACAGTCTCACATCACCAGTTAATAGAAGACATTGAACATACGAACAAGTTAGATACAGTCTCACATCACCAGTTAATAGAAGACATTGAACATACGAACAGTTAGATACAGTCTCACATCACCAGTTAATAGAAGACATTGAACATACGAACAGTTAGATACAGTCTCACATCACCAGTTAATAGAAGACATTGAACATACGAACAGTTAGATACAGTCTCACATCACCAGTTAATAGAAGACATTGAACATACGAACAGTTAGATACAGTCTCACATCACCAGTTAATAGAGACATTGAACATACGAACAGTTAGATACAGTCTCACATCACCAGTTAATAGAAGACATTGAACATACGAACAGTTAGATACAGTCTCACATCACCAGTTAAAGAAGACATTGAACATACGAACAGTTAGATACAGTCTCACATCACCAGTTAATAGAAGACATTGAACATACGAACAGTTAGATACAGTCTCACATCACCAGTTAATAGAAGACATTGAACATACGAACAGTTAGATACAGTCTCACATCACCAGTTAATAGAAGACATTGAACATACGAACAGTTAGATACAGTCTCACATCACCAGTTAATAGAAGACATTGAACATACGAACAGTTAGATACAGTCTCACATCACCAGTTAATAGAAGACATTGAACATACGAACAGTTAGATACAGTCTCACATCACCAGTTAATAGAAGACATTGAACATACGAACAGTTAGATACAGTCTCACATCACCAGTTAATAGAAGACATTGAACATACGAACAGTTAGATAAATTTAGCCAGGTATTTGAGTAACGTGATACTTTCTGTATGTTGTTATTATTATTATTTATTATGTAAATGTATCTCTTGCCAGGGAGCCTTAACGCGTATAACTTATCTCGGGTCATTTAAATAATAAGTATGGCTATTTCTGGTTCATTTCTTACTGTTAAATAATCGGATTTTTCTTTAGAGATAGAGAGACAGTGAGAAAGAAAGAAAGAAATATTGAGAAAGAGGGGTTTTTCTTCTTGTGACGTATGCTATGTAATACTGAACGTAACACAAACACTCCTATGTAATACTGAACGTAACACAAACACTGCTGTAATACTGAACGTAACACAAACACTCCTATGTAATACTGAACGTAACACAAACACTGATATGTAATACTGAACGTAACACAAACACCCCTATGTAATACTGAACGTAACACAAACACTGCTATGTAATACTGAACGTAACACAACACTGATATGTAATACTGAACGTAACACAAACACCCCTATGTAATACTGAACGTAACAAACACTCCTATGTAATACTGAACGTAACAAACACTCCTATGTAATACTGAACGTAACACAAACACTGCTATGTAATACTGAACGTAACACAAACACTCCTATGTAATACTGAACGTAACAAACACTGCTATATAATAATGAACGTAACACAAACACCTGTATTTAATAATGAACGTAACACAAACACTGCTATGTAATACTGAACGTAACACAAACACTGCTATATAATAATGAACGTAACACAAACACTGCTATGTAATAATGAACGTAACACAAACACTGCTATATAATAATGAACGTAACACAAACACTGCTATTTAATAATGAACGTAACACAAACACTGTTATGTAATAATGAACGTAACACAAACTCTACTGTAATAATGAACGTAACACAAACACTGCTATGTAATAATGAACGTAACACAAACACTGCTATGTAATACTGAACGTAACACAATTGTAATTTATAAATGTATATGGAATTGAAAGACGTAAAATAAAAAATAACTGTTTAAAAAATTAGCTAAAAGGAAATAATTGATTTAGAGATACGTGTGTGTGTGTGTGTGTGTGTCAAGGTACTCACTCTGCCACAGGAGTCTGATTGAACCTCTCCGCCCTCACACAGAGCACCACAACAACTGCCCACACCAGTACGACGCCGCTCTTATATCACCTCGTTCTCCACCACAGTCACCGATTACTCATTTATTACCACCATTTTTCCCTCACTAGGCATTACGTAAGAGGTATTTTTTTATCCTCTTTTGTTTATATTTATCCAAGTCGGTGTCAAGAGTTCGATTCAGTACGATACATCCTTTCTTTTTTTGGAGGGGGGGGGCGGGGGCTAGTTCCGTTATGCGTTTACGAATGAACAATAAAAAAAATTCGAGATTAAATAGCAATAAATTTAAATTAAGATAGGAAGCAGAGTGAGAATAAGAGACTTTTACGGCCTGGTTTACACATTGATTTACAGTTTTCTAAAGGTTTGGAACCTCTTAAAATTCGGGAGGGCACAAAAGCTCCCCTGGTAGTGTGGTCTTGGCGTAAAGGAAGAACTCTTGGATGGGTATTTTTTATCCCAGGAGGATCAACAATTTCACCCTTTTTTTCAATAAAACAGCCAACGAAATCACATCTAACTATATTTACCCATTAAAAATTAAGAGATAAATAAATAAATAAATAATAACAATATATTCTGTTGTTTTTCTTTTTTGCTAGACTATTGGATGGTTTTACAGAGGTTGTTGTTATAATGTAAGACCCGTGTGTGTCCTGGGAAAGAAAGAGAGGTGGCCGGGCCCCTGTGGGTTTTTCCTCTAGTTGTGTTGCCATATTGCAGGTTGACGTGCAGGTGTAGCGAACAGGCTAAACGAATCACACACCCCTCGCCCCTAACGCATTCTCTCTCTCTCTCTGTCCTTACTAATCTATCTTTCTTCTCACTCTCTCTTCTTACACTTCACGGTCACGAGTGTACAAACAAGCGCCAAACACACACACACACACACACACACACACACACACGCACACACACACTTCACTGACAGCCATTTCGTATTTTGACTTTAAATATTGTTTGCTTCTCATTTTTATAGTATATCATACATATTTTTCAAGATACTTAGAAAGATAACAAGCTTAATAAGTTTATACACAACCTATTCTTAAATTCGTCTAAATTTTGTACTGTAGGAAAATACTAAGAAAAATATATAAAGTTTAATGGGTAAACAATTTTAAACCAATTATTTCCCCCAAATTTACAAAAGGTTTATATAGATTAATTCACTGGTTCCCATCACAATGTTAAGAGTGTATAGTAACTCTAGCTGTTCTCTTCCTCAGCTTAAACCATCCCAAGTTTAATCACTGTGGTACTACCTGGGCTTAAGGTTAATTTATAGGTCCTAAGTTCCTAACCTAACCTAACCTATCCTAACCTAACCACCGTGATGCTACCCGGGGTTAGTTAGGCTAGGTTAGATCTTTAACTAACCTAACCTAACCTAACCTAACCTAACCTATCCTAACCCAACCACCGTGACGCTACCTGGGGGGGTTAGTTAGGCTAGGTTAGATCTTTAACTAACCTAACCTCAACCTATCCTAACCTAACCACCGTGATGCTACCTGGGGGTTAGTTAGGCTAGGTTAGATCTTAACTAACCTAACCTAACCTATCCTAACCCAACCACCGTGATGCTACCGGGGGTTAGTTAGGCTAGGTTAGATCTTTAACTAACCTAACCTAATCACCGTGATGCTACCTAGTTAGTTAGGCTAGGTTAGATCTTTAACTAACCTAACCTAATCACCGTGATGCTACCTGGGGTTAGTTAGGCTAGGTTAGATCTTTAACCAACCCAACCTAATCACCGTGATGCTACCTGGGGGTTAGTTAGGCTAGGTTAGATCTTTAACTAACCTAACCTAATCACCGTCATGCTACCTGGGGGTTAGTTAGGTAGGTTAGATCTTTAACTAACCTAACCTAATCACCGTGATGCTACCTGGGGGTTAGTTAGGCTAGGTTAGATCTTTAACCAACCCAACCTAATCACCGTGATGCTACCTGGGGTAGTTAGGTAGGTTAGACTTTAACTAACCTAACCTAATCACCGTGATGCTACCTGGGGTTAGTTAGCTAGGTTAGATCTTTTAACTAACCTAACCTAATCACCGTGATGCTACCTGGGGTTAGTTAGCTAGTTAGATCTTTTAACTAACCTAACCTAATCACCGTGATGCTACCTGGGGTTAGTTAGGCTAGGTTAGATCTTTAACTAACCTAACCTAATCACCGTGATGCTACCTGGGGGTTAGTTAGGCTAGTTAGATCTTTAACTAACCTAACCTAACCACCGTGATACCTGGGGGTTAGTTAGGCTAGGTTAGATCTTTAACTAACCTAACCTAATCACCGTGATGCTACCTGGGGGTTAGTTAGGCTAGGTTAGTCTTTAACTAACCTAACCAACCACCGTGATGCTACCTGGGGGTTAGTTAGGCTAGGTTAGATCTTTAACTAACCTAACCTAATCACCGTGATGCTACCTGGGGTTAGTTAGGCTAGGTTAGATCTTTAACTAACCTAACCTAATCACCGTGATGCTACCTGGGAGGGTTAGTTAGGCTAGGTTAGATCTTTAACTAACCTAACATAACCAAACCTAACCAGTGATGCTACCTGGGGAGGATGATCTTCAGGTGATCCCTTTAAAGACTATAATAATGTACAGTACATATAAAGAGGTAGAGGCAACATCACATAGGAATTACTTTACATGGAACAAGGACATAGGGGCGAGTAAGACACCAGCTGTGTATGACGTCACCACAAGGCCTGTTTAACACAGGTGATCGTTAACTGCACCGGTGATCATGAAGGAAGTGTGTTATTTTCATTTGGATTCTGGTTCAGGGTGACATTGGCTGTGGTAGGGTGAGGTAGGGTGAGGTAAAGTGAGGTAGGGTGAGATAGAGTGAGGTAAAGTGAGGTAGGGTGAGATAGGATGAGATAGGGGTGAGGTAGAGTGAGGTAGGGGTGAGTAGAGTGAGGTAGGGTGAGGTAGAGTGAGATAGGTGAGATAGGGTGAGATAGGGTGAGGTAGAGGAGGTAGAGTGAGGTAGGGTGAGGTAGAGAGGTAGGGGTGAGGTAGAGAGGTAGGGTGAGATAGGGTGAGGTAGGGTGAGGTAAAGTGAGGTAGAGAGTGAGGTAGGGTGAGGTAGGGTGAGGTAGGGTGAGATAGGTTGAGGTAGATTGAGATAGGGTGAGGTAGGTGAGGTAGAGTGAGGTAGAGTGAGGTAGGTGGAGGAGAGAGGAGGTAAAGTGAGGTAGAGTGAGGTAGAGTGAGATAGGGTGAGGTGAGGGTGACATTGGCTGTGGTAGGTGAGGTAGGTGAGGTAGAGTGAGGTAAAGTGAGGTAGGGGTGAGATAGGGTGAGGTAGGGTGAGATAGGGTGAGATAGGGGTGAGGTAGAGGAGGTAAGGGTGGAGATAGGGTGACGTAGAGTGAGGTAGGTGAGATAGGTGAGGTAGAGGAGGTAGGGGTGAGGTAGAGTGATGTAGGGTTAGATAGGGTGAGGTAGAGGAGGTAGAGTGAGATAGAGTGAGGTAGAGTGAGGTAGAGTGAGGTAGAGGAGATAGGGTGAGGTAGAGAGGTAGGGGTGAGGTAGAGTGATGTAGGGTTAGATAGGGTGAGGTAGAGTCAGGTAGAGTCAGGTAGAGTGAGATAGGTGAGATAGGGTGAGATAGGGTGAGATAGGGGAGAGGTAGAGTGAGGTAGGGTGAGAGAGTGATGTAGGGTTAGATAGGGTGAGGTAGAGGAGGTAGAGGAGATAGAGGGAGGTAGGGTGAGGTAGTGGAGGTAGAGTGAGGTAGAGGAGATAGGGTGAGGTAGAGGAGGTAGGGTGAGGTAGAGTGATGTAGGGTTAGATAGGGTGAGGTAGAGTCAGGTAGAGTCAGGTAGAGGAGATAGGGTGAGATAGGGTGAGATAGGGTGAGATAGGGTGAGGTAGGGTGAGATAGGGTGAGGTAGAGGAGGTAGAGTGAGATAGAGGATGTAGGGTTAGATAGGGTGAGGTAGAGTCAGGTAGAGTCAGGTAGAGTGAGGTAGGTGAGATAGGGTGACGTAGAGGAGGTAGGGTGAGGTAGAGGAGATAGAGGAGAGGGGTGAGGTAGAGTGAGTGAGAGTGAGATAGGGTGAGGTAGAGTGAGGTAGGGGTGAGGTAGAGGAGGTAGGGTGAGATAGGGTGAGGTAGAGTGAGGTAGGGGTGAGGTAGAGTGAGGTAGAGTGAGGTAGAGTGAGGTAGGGTGAGGTAGGGTGAGGTAGAGTGAGGTAGGGTGAGGTAGGGTGAGGTAGAGGAGGTAGAGGAGATAGGTGAGGTAGGGTGAGGTAGGGTGAGGTAGGGTGAAGTAGAGTGAGGTAGGTGAGGTAGAGTGAGGTAGACTGAGGTAGGGTGAGATAGGGTGAGGTAGGGTGAGATAGGGGTGAGGTAGGGTGAGATAGGGTGAGGTAGAGTGAGGTAGAGTGAGGTAGGGTGAGGTAGGGTGAGGTAGAGTGAGGTAGGGTGAGCCATTAGATCACACACTTCTTTCAGCGTCCCTTCCACTTTTCAAAACAGTCTGCAAAGTCCTCTTTCGGGGTCTTCATCAGCTGCCTCATAGCAGTCTCCTTAATCTCGTCCAGACCAAACAATAACGGAGTACTACATCCAAGTTCTTCGCCAGCTGAGGGATGTGGTTAGATGAAACCACCGCAGCTGTAGGCAAGTGGTGACTGGCAGCTTCAGCTTCATCATGACAACACGCCTGCCCATTCTTCACGTCTCGTGCAGGGTTTTGGCAAACATCGCTATCACCCAGGTCTCTCAGCCCCCCTACAGCCCAGATTTGGCTCCCTGCGACTTCTGGCTTTTCTCAAAGCTAAAATCGCCGTTGAAAGGAGGAGATTTCACCGTGGACGAGATTAAGGAGAATGAGACGAGGCAGCTGATGAAGATCCCGAAAGAGGACTTTGCAGACTGTTTTGAAAAGTGGAAGGGACGCTGGGAGAAGTGTGTGAGGTCCCAAGGGGAGTACCTTGAAGGGGACTAAGGCGCCATTGTCCTAGGTAAGCAATATTTTTTTTTAATAGTAAATGGCTGCATACTTTCCCGACAGACCTCATTAACCACACAACCATGCTCTATACCACACAACCATGCATTATACCACACAACCATACGCTATGCTACACACCCATAATAATAATGGATGTATATATATATATATATATATATATATATATATATATATATATATATATATATATATATATATATATATATATATATATATATATATATATATATATATATATATATATATATATATATATATATATATATATATATATATATATATATATATATGCTTTTAGACTTTTCTTAATTGAAAATTTTATCTTTTATTAACATTAATAATAATAATAATAATTACAGACCCCGGCCCGGAATTTGTCAACTTGTCTTCATTATTATCAGCTCAATTACTCGCAGAACAACACTCTAATAATATAGCGTCTGAAAGAGATTAACGGTGTTTAAGATACAGCGATGACGTGAGGCACATGCTACAGCAGCAGTAAAAGAAAATTAATTTCAGCGAATGATGAAGGAGTTTGTGTTGACCTTCATGGCGGCTGTACACGAAGGTGGGGTATGGTGCCACCCTTAAAACTGTACAGTATACTCATGGTCGTCGAAAAATAATGGCCGGATCTTACTTACATGAAGCGATAAAGGTAGACGGTATATTTTTCATAAAGAAAATAAGTTGAAAGGTTTAGATCAGCGCCGTAGTTAAGTTTTTGATTTTATGTGATCAATCCACTTTTGGAAGGACGGTGAAGGAACCTTTGTGGAGTCTGGTTTGACGAACCTTGCGTGGTATTCCTTGTAGGGAATAGCACCGGGGATGTCGTCACCCAGGTAGTGGTCCCAACACTCGTACATACGGTTCAGGTTGGCTATGTCTGAGCGTGAAAGAGTGGGTCTCTGTCCCAAAGATCCCGCAAAATCCTTCTTTTTGACCTCAATAACATTCTGGTCATTTGAGGAGAAGGCTTTCTTCCCGTAATGCATGACGCTGTGATAGTCGTAGGGGAGACCCTGCAACCACAACAGAGGGAACTTGCTCCGAAATATTTTGAAGTTATGAGCATAACTACTAACCGTATTTTTTAATTGAACAAAGATGTAATCATCGCGATCAATTCTGCACTGTTGATGGAAGATGCCGGCGGCGTGGAGGAATTCGTGCATGGGCGTACCCGTTACAACCAAGCAGCCGCGTTGTAGATTAACAACTTGGTAACCCTTGCGTAAGTTGACGTACGCCATGTTGGCAAAACACCCTCTTTCGTTTTTCTTGACTTTGACGTGATAAGCATTTGGGTCAGTGGCGTTGATTATCCTGAAGCAAGAGATATTGTTTAACCGATCCACCGCTTGGTGGATGGCGTAACTCTCATCACTTGTAAAAGCCTCAGAAAGTATAATGGGCATTGTTTTGTTTGGCCACCGACGGCGGAGCAAACGTCTCGGCATAGGTCTCCTCCTCGTCTTCTGGGTCGTTAATACGACCTTGGGTGAGGAGAGGATCTTCATGACCCTGGGTGAGAAGAGGGTCTTTATGACCCTGGGTGAGAAGAGGGTCTTCATGACCCTGGGTGAGAAGATGGTCTTCAGGACCCTGGGTGAGAAGAGGGTCTTCATGACCCTGGGCGAGAAGAGGGTCTTCATGACCCTCGGTGGAGACACTAGCGGGTCCTGCTCCTGCCTCACATACCCAAACTAACGTCAAAGCGACCAAGAGCAACTTGGTAAACGACATTTAGGCTTATTAATCACTAAAATAAAACGAAAAAGAAAATAAATTGACGAAGTGAATCATTTGAAAACTTTAACTTACAATTGAATAATCAAGTAGAAGAGATGTACACCGAAACAGAGAGTTCTGTCTCATAATTTATAGATTTGTCATTATTGTAATTACTAACCTGTTACGTGCTTGAAGACCTTACTTGTTGAAGCGCAGTAATTAAATTATAGAGTCAACGCTGTACTGCCTGAAGAGGTTTTAAAGTATCTGTTAAAAAAAATAATAATCGGGAATTCGATGTGGAATAGTTCCCATAGGGCCGAATATATATATATATATATATATATATATATATATATATATATATATATATATATATATATATATATATATATATATATATATATATATATATAATTAAATTAAAATAACAGGACTAACCCAGGTAAGTATATACCAATTAGTCTAACTTATGTCTGAAGGGAGAAAATATTATTGAAAATTTAAAGAATAATAAGGCGAAGGCAGATGAGGGAAAGAGAGAAACAGAGAGAGAGAGAGAGAGAGAGAGAGAGATCAGTGTCACACAGTCCCACACAACAGGTGGGCGTGGCTGGTGGTGGGCGAGTGTGTGACTGTGTGTGTGTGTGTGTGTGGTCAGGAAGGATTCTCTTCAACCATCCAAAAAAAAAGAAGTTATTTTTCTCTCGTT